GCCTGACCTGCTGAAATTCTGCCTGCTGAACCGGGAACAAAGCTGTCACTGATGAGGCTACCCATCAGTTAGAGAGCCAGTGTGGCGTAGTGTTTAAGAGTGTCGGACTTGTATCTGGGGGACCCAGGTTCGAATCCCCACCCGTGCCATGAAAGCTTGCTTGGGTGACTTTGGGCCGGCCACACTCCCTCAACCTACCTTACAGGAGCTGTTGTGAGGATAAACTGGGAGGCAAGGAGAACGATTTAAGCTGCTTTGGCACGGGGAGGAAGGCAGGATACAAAAGAATTAAATAAACGAAATGCATAAATAAAAGGATGGGAGGAGGCAGGGAAGGGCATGCCGGTGACGTCCCTGCCAGGTGTTATTGGAGACAAGCGGCGCTTCTGTTTCCTTTCCTGCTGCAGGCATAAAAGGCTGGGTGCGGCCGGAGGTGTGAGGTGTTTGGCCAAAGCTTCCTGCCCTTTGGCTCGCAGCCTGTATGGTCTAGGAGGAGGCATCCGAGCGGATCCGGCACCAGCCCAAGGCATGGCCTATCCTATTCTTTGGTCTACTTCACCTGTTGTCAGCTATGCTTGCCACATGCCGACAGACCCAAAACCACTGTGGTAAAATTAACAATGGCCGCGGGCACACGGGCAGGAAAATGTGTGTGTGGGGGGAAGCGTGGCTGTTTGCCCCGGGGCAAAATAACGTGCGGTTGCGCTAGCAGACGTACCGTGGAGGTCCCATGGTAGGGGGGAGGTGCCGAGCACACCACAATCCTGCGCCACGGCAAAGAAGCGGCATGGCCAACGGGTGTTTTTTTTCTCTGGACACCAAAGTGTGCGCATGCCCCATTGGGTGCTCGTGCGCATCCCATGGACAGTTGGAAAAAAACCCCTTTATACGAGGGGACATGGGCAGGCGCCGGAACTACCACCAGAAACACGATCAGACGCCCGCCCTTGCCTCGCGGTTACTGGAAACTAGTACCTCCGAGGTACTAGTTTTTAACCGTGCATCTTCGGCAGGAAGCCTCGGGTGCGCCACGGGAACTCTACGCTTCCCAGATGTGGCGGTGAGATCGCACCCGGAAAATCCGCCTATCTTCCGTCTCTCTAGCGTGCCTAATGCTCCGTGTGACCACAGCCACAGACACATTTAATAGTTCTATGAGCATCAATTTGTGAAGCTATTAATCTTACAATATGGTAAAAGAATTCAGGCATAGGCAAAGCAAAGTCTTGCTTGCTCCTATTCAAGTACTTGCAATGGAACTGAAAGTAAGTCTAACAACTGCTCTAGTTAGAAATCATAACAAAACTATTCCATTCAGCTTCATGTCTTTCTCCACTCCTTATAACTATGCTTTTTTCAGGAGAATTTGACTATGAAGAAAACAAGTAAGAAACCATACTGTTTTTAAAAAGAAGCTAAACTGAATTGAGAGGTTGACATCTTCCAACTTTATAAGACTTCTTACTCATGAGGAAGATTGGTGAAATGAGTGTAAAAACTGGTGTGCTCATTGAAGATACGATTATGTTGGATTTTGCTTTGCCTATGCCTGAATTATTTTACCATATTGTAAGATTAATAGCTTCACAAATTGATGCTCATAGAACTATTCAATGTGTCATTGTTAATTTTACCACAGTGGTTTTGGGTCTGTTGGCATGTATCTGCACACTGTGACCCCTTCTCTGGCTTTTTTAGCTACGCTTGCCATGGCAGGTGGAAGTGGGGGGGGGATGATGTAGAGTCTGTTGCTGTGCTGGAATCTTAACTTTCGTTTTTCCTTGCTGTGTCTTATCTAGAGATGTAAAATTTCCGGAAATTTTGAAGCTCGGAAAAACCCCCGGTTTCTTTCCGTTTTTTTCCGGGGGGAAACGGGAATTTTCGGAAAAATGGAAAAAAAGGCTACATTAACATTTCTTTTGTCTTTTCTAGATTGAAAGTCATTCTGTTACTTTAGGAACATAAAATATGACTATGGGCATTTTTACTTGGCATGAAATTATCACAACTAGCATATTAAAAATATAGTGTATCCAAACAATTCTTACAAACAGAATACCCACCCACATGCAAAAACAAAACTGAAACTTTTTTATTTTCTTCTGACAATCGCACCTCCTAAAGGAAGAAATGCATCTTGTTCTTGCATCAGAGAGTTCTGTTTGTGACCAAGGACTTGCTTGTCCTCAGTGCACAGAAATTAGATTAATCTGATACCATATATATATATATATATTAGAAATTATTTGGAAAATATTTGAACACTTTGTCTTAAAATATTTTAATCATCATGTTAAAATAAAACGTTCCATAGTCAATTTTTTTTTCTTTTTTCAATTTTTCCAATTTTTTGGAAAAAAAACAAAAAGGCTTCAGGAAAAAAACAGGGAAAAAACGGTTTTCCCCCCGAATTTTTCCGGGTTTTTTCCGGGCCTTCACATCTCTAGTCTTATCTTGGCCTGTGACCTTGGTCCCATGCTGCTGACATTTTTGTTGGGAATGTAGACCCATTAGCTTAGGCGGGCTCCAGCTTCCTCCCTGATTGGCTCAGACCCATCAGGGGACCCTGTTTTGAAGTGTGTATATCTTCTCATTTCGCGGGCTTGCCATTAGTTCCGACACAGATTGTATGCACAGATGAACTGCCTTTACTCTACTCAATAAACTTGAGCCTTCTGAAGGAACGTTGTTGAGAACTGATTGCTGCAGGACTTTAACCCCTGTATTTTTGTAAGCCTCTTTGGGTCCCCCCCCCACACTTGGGGAGAAAAGCACGGTAGGAAAAAAAACCCTGAATAAAAATCAATAAATCTGCGAGGAACCCCCTCCATCGTGCAGGGATCCGTCTCCAGCTGAGCACTCTCTCCCCAAAGAACATTTTGTCTTCCGTTCTAATTGTCATTTGGATTGTATTTCGATTCCCAAGAGCTTTTTTTGGGAACCAATTTTTAGCTGAAAAGGGGGTGGGGGACAAATACAATTAAGAATAAACGGATCATTGCAAGCAAGTTGCACAGAAAAAGGGAGCTCATGAGGCAGATGTTTCCGATCTGGGGAAGGACCGATCCAATCACAGTCCTTCTGTGGTGACTCTTGGGTTGGAGAGGGGGAAGAACAAAGATTCCTGGTGGCTGAGCGTGAGCCACTGGGGAAGACCCAGAGCTGGAAGGGATCCCCAAGGGTCATCTAGTCTGACTCCCTGCACAGTGCAGGAAATTCACAGTCACCTCCCCTCCCCGCTCCCCCAGCAACCCCTTAGTGGCAATTGGCATTACCCTGGGCATATAAGGAGGAGGAGGAAGAGGAAATTGGATTTATACCCCACCCTTCACTACCCGAAGGAGTCTCAGAGCGGCTTACAATCACCTTTCCCTTCCCCTCCCCACAACGGACACCCTGTGAGGCAGGTGGGGGCTGAGAGAGCTCTCGTGAGAACTGCTTGTGAGAGAACAGCTCGGAGAGAACTTGTGACTGACCTAAGGACACACCAGCAGCTGCATGTAGAGGCGTGGGGAATTAAACCTGGTTCTCCCAGAAAGGGCCACGAGAGCCGAGCATTGGCTCATCCCTTCCTGCCCTCCTTCTCACGGTCTGCCTAAATTCATAGTGATAATAATACATTCAAGTTATAGATTCAGGTACATAAAGATAGAAGGTGACAACAACGGGACACATAAGCTTTAATCTGTCTGAGAGATGTTCTCCATTATTTGTGCAAGGTCATAGGTGAAACTGTTATCAAACTCCATGTGAATTGGGCAGCTTTTCCATTGAAGTGCAATTTTTCATACATTATCAAACTATTGGTTAGGAGAAGACGTCTGTCGAAACGGCACTGCATTCTGGAGACTACCGTCCCGTTTTTGTCACCTTCTATCTTTATGTACCTAAATTCATAGTGAGTCAAGAGGTTTGGGTTCAAGCAGCCCCTAAGGGAACATGACAATCAAGATCCAAAGTTGCCAGTTTCCCTTTCATCTGTTTTAACATCCTATCATGGCGAGGGTTTGGTGAGGGAATCTGGGGCAGTGTGGGGGACTGGACAGTGTGTTGAGTTGAATGGCAAGACACGGGTTCAAGTTCCTGCTCAGGCATGAAGCTTCCCCAATGACCTCGGGCCAGTGACTTTCTCTCGGCCTAGCCGACCTAACAGGGTCATGAGGAGGATAAAGCAACGGCGAGAAACATTGCACTTCACGCCCTGAGCCCCTCAGGAACCCTAAGGAGAACCAGTTTGGTGTAGTGGTTAAGTGCGCAGACTCTAATCTGGGAGACCCAGGTTTGATTCCCCACTCAACTTGCAGCTGCTGATGACCTTGGGCAAGCTGTAGTTCTGTCAGAGCTGTTCTTGAAAAAGAGCAGTTCCTGTCAGAGCTCTCTCAGCCCCACCTACCTCACAGGGTGTCTGTTGTGAGGAGGGGGAGGGAAAGGAGTTTGTAAGGCGCTCTCAGACTCCTTTGGGTAGCGAAGGGTGGGGTATAAATCTTATTTGTGTTTTCACTCAGCTTCTTGGCCCTTTTTAAAAAGCAAGTGTCTAGCCTACAAAGACAAGCTGAGCGTGTGAGGATGACGCCGGCTGAAACCTCAGAAGCTACAAGCACGGCAAGGCAAGCTCCTAGCCCTTATGGATGCAGAGATGTTTTAAGGCAGGAACGCCTGCGGAAATCTCGGTAATTGCCGAATGAGGGTCAAAGCGGGTGAAAGCGGGAGTTTCCAGCACCCTGCCTTCGCCGTCGGGACTCGCAGAACCGAAATGAATTATGCAGAGGAGGAGAGCGGATGCAAACGAGGCTCATCTGCATAATTCATATGCGTCACCGAATCGGGACTGCCTTGGCACTGAGTCCCCCCCCCCGGCACTTCCCCCCCCAGCCCGATCTCCACCAAATGAACATAACGATTACCTCGCCAGAACCTTTCAGGACGATGCAAGCGATCCGCCCAAAGGCCCACCCAGTCTCCCGTCCTCCCCCCGGACCATCCCGCGGGGCTCCTCTTACCATGATGCCCGTGAGCAGACAAACGCCCTTCCCGCAGTAAGTGTGCGGCACCATGTCGCCGTAGCCGATGGACAGGAAGGTGATGGAGATCAGCCACATGGCGCCCAGGAAGTTGCTGGTGACGTCTTGTTGGTCGTGGTACCTGCCGAGGAAGTACAGGCAGCTGGGGTGAAATCAAGAGACAGCCGGGCACCTTCCCAGCCCCTGTGGAAGAAGCACCATCGGGGAAGGGCCGCGGCTCAGTGGAAGAGCCTCTGCTTGGCATGCAGAAGGTCCCAGGTTCAATCCCCGGCGTCTCCCGTTAAAAGGACCAGACACTAGGTGATGTGAAAGATTCCCGCCTGAGACCCTGGAGAGCAGCTGACAGTCTGAGTAGAGGCTATAGCCCAGTGCTAGAGGAACTGCTTTGCTTGTAGAAGGCCCCAGATTCAATCCCCACATCTCCAGTGCGGATCTGGTAAGAACATAAAATCCTAGAATCACAGAGTCAGAAGGGGCGCTACAGGCCATCTAGTCTGACCCCCTGCGCTCATTGCAGGATCAGCCTAGAGCATCCCTGACAAGTATTCGTCCAGCCGCTGGTTAAAGACTGCCAGGGAGGGGGAGCTCACCACCTCCCCAGGCAGCCCATTCCACTGTCAAACAACTCTGACTGTAAAAAAGGTTTTCCTAAGATCCAGCCGGTACCTTCCTGCCCTTAATTTAAACCCATTCTTGCGAGTTCTCTCCTCTGCTGCGGACAGGAACAGCTCCCTGCCCTCCTCTAAGGGACAGCCCTTCCGATACTTCACGAGAGCCATCCTGTTCCCCCTTCAACCTCCTCTTCTCCAGACTGAATATTCCCGAGTCCCTCAGCCTTTCCTCCCAGGGCTTCTTGGTCTCCAGGCCCCGGATCACCCTCGTCCCTCTCCTCTGCACCCCGCTCCACTCTGTCCACATCCTTTTGGAAGTGAGGCCTCCAGAACTGCACTCAATACTCCAGGTGCGGCCTGACCCATGCGGTGTACAGCGGGACTAGGACATCTTGCAATTTGGATGTTATGCCTCTGTTGATACACCCCATGATCGCATTAGCCTTTTTTGTCAACGCATCACACTGGCTGCTCATATCGTTAGGAGAGCTTTGCTAGATCAGACCGTCTAATCTAGTAGGTGATGTGAAAGACCCTCTGCCTGAGACCCTGGGGAGCTGCTGCCAGACTGAGTAGACAACACTGACCTTGATGGACCAAGGGGCCTGATTCAGTATAAGCCAGGTTCATGTGTGTACAACTTTTCAAAAGGGGGGGGGGGATTGCATGTTTTTAAAACGACACATCTATTCTCCTTCAGAAAGCTTATAAAGCAGAGGAGCCTGGTTTCAAAAAGTAAAACCAAGTGGAAGTTGAAGGGTTAAACCCTCTCCCGCCCACCTTGCACAGCCCCAAGGTAAACTGAGGCTGTAAAAGTCTGCCATCCACATGAATGAGAGGCATGAGATGCGTTTCTTGGATTAAGCCCTAAAACGGGATCCAAACAGCACTGGTTTGGGTGCAGTTTTAACCCTTCCACTCCTGGATTTTCTAGTCCGGACAGTAAAATCTAGGATTACAACAGCACAATATCCAATGATGGCTGGATCTTGGAACATGAATCCCGCCGTAAACACCACGTGACAGATGCACCTTTAACAAATCACTTTTTAACCATGAAACATACTCCAGAAGACTTAAGAGTCTTTGTACTTAAAGAAATTAAAAACTACCCTTATAATAGGGTGGGTATCAATAAACTCTTACATCAACAGGAGGCACGCTATATTTTTTTATTTAACACCTTGGAACCAAATGGTTTGAATCAATATAATGATTTATATTTTTTGTGAATTACTGCATGTATATTCTTTTAATGTAAGGACAGAGTCTCAAAAAACTTATTTCTAATACTGATGAATGGCTTCTAATGGAGGACTAGGTCCCTTTAATTAGCCACTCCTATTGTGCTCCATATAATTATGCAAGGTTAAGGAGAGACTGAACGTGCTTTTCACTTTTGAGGAAGCCTTGAGCTCACTAAGAGAGACTTTTTGCAGCGTTCATTGGTGAAATTTGGATAAATATTTTGGGTAAGAACTTTTCACTTTCTTGAGACTCTGTTCACCATGAGACTGCTAGTACTGTAACCTATTCTGTTTTTGCTACCTGTTATGTTAGTATTTGGCAACCTTGTGGCTTGGGAATATCTGTTGAACTCCCTGAGGAAGACACTGAAACAGGAGGATATCCGGACCTCTGCTGGAGGAAGACTGAGCACTAATTCAAAATAGACTTTAAGGGAGCCCTCCCTCTTAAAACTTTTGTACAATTAAGGAGGACTGGCATTAATAAAGGGGTTGTGTGATATCTTTTGTGATACATAATAAGACAATACTTAGATGTTTGGATATATGATTCTTTCTATGTGTTAAGTTTTATATGCAGGGCTTTTTTTGTTAAAAAAGGCCCAGCAGGAACTCATTAGCATAATAGGCCACACCCAACAGCAGAAACTTATTGCCATATTAGACCACACCCCAATGCCTTGCCTGGGCGCCCCGCGGATGCCAGCCATTGGAGGGGAGGGGAGGCAGTTTAAACTGCCTTCCCTTAGCTTGCCCAGGCGCCCCACGGCTGCAGGGAGCCTGGGCAAACCAGCCATTGGGCAGGCTGGGGAAGGTGTGGGGAGGCATTTAAATGCCTCCCCGATCCTTCCAGGGCCCCCCTGGCCCCCCCGCCTCAGAGTCACTGGGGGGGGTCCGCTCTCCAGGCCTTCCCTCTGTAGCCACGCACGCAGAGGTTTTGGCTGTAGTGGGCGTGGCCAAATCTGAAGCCAGCTGGAACTCCGTTCCTGTGCGCTCCTGCCCCAAAATAGCCCTGTTTATATGATAATTAATACAGTGGTGAATCATTTATAAGAAATGTAGAAAAAATAATATATCAATGAAAAAATATATAAAAATTACTTGAGATACTCTGTGATCATCTGCAGCATGGTATTTGTTGATTTTTGGATCCTCCCTAAGGCATGAATGATCCTGGTCAGGGCATTTTCCTCCAGAAAAAGGGCACAGATGGCAAAGCAGTCTCAACTGGTCACATGACCTCTGGGTTTCACTAATAATCAATAATCATCGCATGCAGGGGTCTTTTGGGGCCGGAGCGGGCCGGAGCGCCGCTCTGGGAGCCCAGGAGTGGGCACAAATGGCGGTGGCGGCAAGCCCTGCCCCAGCTCCCCGCCCCCAAGCTCCTTCTGCCTAGAGCCGCGTCGCATAGAATACAGTGGAAAGATCGCGCTGCCACTACGGCGCGACTCCAGAGAGAAGGGGCTTAAAGTTTAAAAGCCCCTTCTCTCGGGAGTCGTGCCCTCTCCATTGTATTCTATGGGCCATCAAATAGAATGGAGAGATCGCTCCGCTGCTTTGCTCCCCCCCCCCCCCCCTGTGCGAGGTTGCTTGAGAGCAAAAAAAGCAAAAAACGGGGGCGGGGTGTCTTGAAGATGCCTCCCCCCTTTTTGCTTCCCCTTCTGACATCACTTCTGGTGATGTCAGGGGGTGTGGCATATGCTAATGTTCCATGCTAATAGCTCATTAGGTATGCTAATGAGCTCCTGCAGCTCTTTTTCTATGAAATGACCCCTGATCACATGGCATTATATGTAGAACAGCCAGGAGATATGAAGATTTCCTGGCAGCCTTAAGTTCTAGTTCTTTTAACACGTTGAGCTAGACTTATTTTGGGGGCTGAGACAGCTCCAAAAGAGCTGTGACTGACCCAAGGTCACCGAGCTGGCTTCTTGTGGAGGAATGCAGAATCGAACCCGTTCTCCAGATTAGAGTCTGTCACTCTTAATCAGTATGCCACGCTGCCTCACTGGATTTCTTGCACTTCCAGAACTTCTAGCTAGATTTTGGGGGCTGAGAGAGCTCCAAAAGAGCTGTGACCGACCCAAGGTCACCCAGCTGACTTCTTGTGGAGGAATGCGGAATCAAATCCAGTTCTCCAGATTAGAGTCCGCCACTCTTAACCACGATGCCATGCTGGCTCATGGGATTTCACTATTATTGGCACTCCCAGATCTTCTTGGGCATGCGTAAACTGACTCAGACCTTAAAAGGAAGCGGCACTCTGTCAAACATGAGCTGGTTTCAGGCTTGGAAATCAAAACTTCTGGATCAGGCCTGGAAACCAACCAGGGTCCAGTGTGGCTACGTGGCTATGAGGACTTCCCGGAGGTCTATTGTGGGAGGAACTGGAGACAGGCCCACCAAACAGCCCCCTCCTGCACCGACCCTTCCTTCTCTGGTAAGTCGCCACCGCAGTGCGGGTAAAGGTGGCCAGACTGACAGGAGACGGGTGAGCGCGCGCTACAACCGGCGTCAGCTTCCCAGCGCCCAACAAGAGCCTGACAGGTGTTGAAGGGCCGCAAAAAGAGCGACGCCGCAACCCCAGTGAGCTGCCCGCCAAGCTCCCAAGGCGATCACGTACACCCATCACAGAGATGCTACGAGAGCAGACCGACAGCTGAGCAGTCGGCAGCAGCATGGCCAGAAGTGACCCCGGAGGGACTCGCGTGTTCCGCTTTTGTGTGAAATGGGTCCTTCCCAACAGAGGGTGCTTTCTGCTCTCTGGATAAGAGCAGTTGTCCCAGGCTGGTGCTGCAGCACTGAATTGGAATGAAGGGCTTTCCCTGGGGAAGGGGAGGCGCCTTGGCTGGGGAAGAAAATGCAAGAGTCGGCGTGGCGTAGTGGATACAGCGTTGGATCCTGGGTTCGAAGGCCCACATCCACCATGGAAGTCTGCTGGTTGACCCTGGGCCCATTACAAGCTCTCAGCCTATCCTACCTCACAGGGGTGTTCTTGTGAGAGAATGGAGGAGGGGGCGAACACTACTGTAAACCGTTTTGAGTCCCAACTGTAGAGGAAAGCCAATTGCAAAGAAAATTGAATAAAAAACCTGTGGGACAGTTTGGTGTAGTGGTCAAGAGCGCGGAGTCTTATCTGGGAGAACAGGGTTTGATTCCCCCACTCCTCCACATGCAGCTGCTGGTGTGACCTTGGGTCACTCACAATTTCTCTCAGAGTCATCCTCTCAGAAGCAGTCCTCAGAGCTCTCTCAGCCCCACCT